AGACTGACAATGCCACATATTGCCAATGAGTTGAAGCAACTGGAATTCTCCTACCTCGTAAGTGAGAATGTGGAATTGTGCAACTGCTTTGAAAAAAGTTATGACGATTTCTTATAAACTAAATATATCCCTAGTCTGTGATCCAGCAGTTCCACTGCTGGGTATTTACCCAAGTGAAATGAAAACATATGCACATAAAAAGACTTCTGCAAGAATGTTCATAGCAGCTTTAGACATAGCAGCCAAAGACTGGAAACAGCCCAGGTGTCCATCAATAGGCTTATGATTAAACTCTGGTATATTCTTGTAATTGAATATTTATTGGCAATGAAAGAGAACATACTGCTGATACAACAGCATGGAATAATCTTAAAAACATTATGCTGAGTGAAAGAAGCCCTACATAAAGAGTCATACTGTATGATTCCATTTATATGAGATTCAAGAGCAGGCAAAACTAATCCGTGGCAGAAAAAAATCAAAACAGTGTTTGCCTCTGGGGAGAAGGGCATAAGGGAAGAGGAGCATAAGGGAACCTTCTGGGGTGATGAAAATGTTTTATATCTTAATATGAATTTTGCTTATACAAGTGTCTAAACAGCATTTGTCTAAAGAGTAAAAGTACACTTAAAATCTGTGCGTTTCATAGAATGTAAATTTTATAGCAAAGAAAATGAACAAACATTGAACTCTAGTTAAATATGTGAATACTATATTTGGGGAAGATTTACTGATGTCTGCATTATACTTTGAAATGCAGCAAAAAAGTAAGGTGGTTTAATAGATGGTTAGAGGGATGGATAGATATGTGATAAAGAAAACATAAGGAAAATGTTAACGATTGTCTGAGTGGTGGCTATACCAGTGTTCACTGTAAAATTCTTTCAACTTTAGTGAATATTTGAACATTTTCATAATTTTTTTAATGTAAAAAAACATTTTTTTTTTACCTTTCTCACAAATTCAGACTTATAAGGAGAGTGCTCCTTTGTACCAGACTTATGAAAATATATAGCCAGTGTTTTCTAAGACTGACTTGAACCCCTCCTCCCCCACGCTATAGAGAGTCAATAAAAGCTATCCTTCCTGTGACATCAGTGAATCGACATTACCAGAAATTTCAGTGTTAGCCATTAGCCTTGGCTGTCATACCATTGGAATTGCTTCAGTGCGAATGGCAGGTTGGGCAGAGGCTGAAGCTAATGTATAAGGTGAAAGCCATTTATGTTACTCTCTGTAACATTTTGGGGTGGGGAAAATGAGGGAGGATTGAGAGAATAAAACCCATCTATAATGAAACCCATCATTATTTTATATTGTCAAAAACTGTAAATGGAGTGTTTGTAATTATAAAATAATGAGATGAAATCAAGAGATAATAAAACAAGTGAATCACACTGTTTTGATTTCCATACTCCTGAGATCTTTTCCAGGCCACTCCACCCAAAGTGGATAAATAAATTGTGATAATAAATTGACTGCTCATATAAATCACTACTCTTTCTCTTCTTTGAAGTTTACTAATACAGTGCAAACTAATAGAATTTAAACCCACTGTTGATTCTGGCTCTGGTAGATTACTTGAGTGCACATGTGTGCGAACAATGTTTTCCTAGTCTATATTGTTTTGTGATTTTGTGTTCTTAGCTTTCCATTTGTGAATAATTGGATGAAAGCATTTCTAGCCTTCACAAAATATCACAGCAGTCCTTTTTCAAATTTTTAATTTTCTTCAATTTTTTAAAATAGTAGATACTAAGTAATGCAAATTCACCTTAAAAAATGTGTATTTATGACTTAAGTTATAAATAATTGAAAATTAAAAACTAAGCTATATAAAACTAAAATGAGAAAAAGTAAAGACAATGCTCTTGGGTCTCCGTGAACAGAAAACTTCTAACTGGGCTTCCATTTCTGTCTGCTTGAGTAACTTTCTCTTGCTAATACCTGGAGGATGTAAAGGAGGTAAAGGGAGAAAATGGGACAGAGAAATGTGTTTTTCTTTCAAAGATCGCATACCTAAGATCACTGCCTATTCTTCCCCAACCCAACTTACTCTGAATTTACCACCACCACTGCCCACGTGTCAGTATGGTGCAGCATATTTGAGTCCTTTTAGAGAATTCTATAATTAAGAGGGACCTTAAAAATCGTTTGTCTTACTTGCTCATCTTCTAGATGAAGAAACCGAGGCCCAGATTGAAGTACAGTTTATTTTTATTGTGGAATGAAGGAATATTAGACCATCCCTAAATAGTATTAAAGTAGTAAGTCCAGAAACTTATTCCTTCATTTGTTAATTCTTTCAACCCATACTCTTACTTTTTATGTTGGGCATTAGTTAGACCCTATGAAATGGTATTGAATAAGACAATCTCTGCATTGAGGAGTTTACAATCTATTTAGAGACTCAGGTAATACAATACAGAATGTTAATTATGCAGTAATATGAGTAAACAGTGTTGTCGGAACACTTAGAAGGAAGCTCCTTTTGCAGCTTTGAGTGGAGGGTGGTCAAAGAAAGCTTCCTCACCGAGGTGAATTCTGATCTGAGCTCTAAAGGACAATTAGCCAGGCAAAGAATTGAGGAAAAAGATGTCAAGACTAAAAGAGCAGCACGTAAAAAGATCTGAGGTAAGAGACAGTGGCGCACAAATTCCCTGTGTAGTCTCTTGTAGCTCTGTAGTTTTATACCGTTTCCCAAGTAGCACAGCTCCATGCATGTAATAGATATTCATGTGTTTCTCTGGGCATTCTTTGCACTTATTACATTTGCGTTAGGTAGTTGTTAAATTCTTACGCCTGTAATCCTGCTCCTCTACTAGACTCTAAGCCCCCTTAAGAATGGCCATGTCACTGTTACCCTCCATCATGTTCAGCTGTGCACAGTGCTTAGCACACATTAGAAGACCAGTAGATGTTTCACTCCTTGCAGAAATGTATCTCCTAGCACATTCTTGTCTCATCCTAACACAGTCTCCTCATTTTCTTAAGCTCTTTCTAGAGTCTCTGATATCTCCATGGTCTCTCCGTTGCTCTTACTAATTTATCAGCTACCTCTGTGGCTGGTTGTAAAGCTCCTAATCTGGAATTTTCGCTAATCTATTTTGCAGAAGTTTGTATCAGGTATACGATAACATGTGCTTTAAAAAATCTGATGGGGGCCGACCCGGTGGCGCAAGCGTTAAGTGCACGCGCTCCGCTGCCACGGCCCGGGGTTCACCGGTTTGGATCCTGGGCGCGCACTGACGCACCGCTTGGCAAGCCATGCTGTGGTGGCATCCCATATAAAGTGGAGGAAGATGGGCACGGAGGTTAGCCCAGGGCCAGTCTTCCTCAGCAAAAAAAAAGAGGAGGATTGACAGCTGTTAGCACAGGGCTGATCTTCCTCACTAAATAAATAAATAAATAAATAATCTGATGTACAAAACTGATTTGGGGTATGTAGTTAAGTGACTGTTTAATTTGATTTAAATTAACTAACTTGGTTCTAGCAAGGCCAGGTGCCTCCCTTTTCCCCCCAACCCAGATAAGCCTGGTAAGATGGGAGGGGAGAGGGTAATGTTAATATTTCAGGCCTTATGCCAATCATTGGTAGTGGAGCCAAAATAGAATATTGACCCAGGCCATTAAAATCATTATGAAATATGCCTTATCTTTATTCATTCATTCTTTATCAAATACTTGAGATGCATGGTTCTGTCTATACCTTCTAAAACTTCAGACTCTTACTCTATGATTGTCTGCCAAGTACTAGGGAAATTATAGAAATGAATGTAAGTAACTGAAATACTAGTAAGTAGGAATAAACATAAGGTTATATGAATTCAATAGAGGGGATAATCTGTTTGGAGCTGTAAGGGAGAAATAATGGTAGAGTCTGAAGTAATGAGTCTCTATCGAGTCTGGAAGGTTGGATAGGATTCTGATAGACATAAATTAGTTCAGTGTTGTCTGTTACTCCATGCTTTTTCTCATAAGTAGGTATAAAGAAAGAATGTTGTATTAGGGGCCTGGAATATGTGAAAGGCTTGGAACAACCACTGAAAAATGTGATAAGGTGTCAAAGAGAAATTAACAAAATGATTGGCATTAGCGGCAAGTGCCCAAAGTGACATATATTGATCATGTACCCAGTTATACATTGGGAATGTACTGTGTCAGTGCACTGAGAAGTCATATGCACATGTTACCAAATAAAATGAGGATAGCAATAATATCCTACCTGCCTCATAGAAATGTTGTGTAAGCTGTTGGTAAACATGATTATGTTTACCAGGCTAGATAGAGGAATAGTAATTTGTAAGTTCTAGCTACTTCCTAGTTTATGTCAGTATTGTTTGCTATCAAGGATTCTCTCTTTTGGGAACCAAGAAATTTTGCAGACTAGCTTCTATAGAGGGATTGTATGTTGTAAAGTGAAATGAGAAAAGGTGGCTCCACATCCACAGACGATTCACTTTGTGAAAGAGACTGCATGCCAAGTGTCAACTGAGAAATAAATGTCTCAGATAATTGGCAGAAATTTTCTTTTCAATCCCATTTGAAAAAATGAAAAGAGTTTGGGAGATTTGGAAATGTTACCCATTTTCAGAGTAACAGGAAATCAATTACTCTACCAAATGCAGTGGTTTTGACCACATCCCACAGTAAGCAGCGTATATTGCATCACAAAACAGTACCTGCATAGGAGCATATAGACATAGAAGCAAAAGCTTCGTGAAACAAAGCTCATCCTTACTACATTCCCAAGTAGTAGTTACTCTAGTGTGTTTCTTTTTTTTTGCTGTTGTTTTTAATGCTGTTCATAATCCACTAAACTGCATAATTCACTGATGAACTACAACCTGCACTTTGAAAAACACTGCTTGTTACAAGATTTTTCTGACATCAATTTCAATTTTGAAATATTGTTTTTATCCAATATAAATTTTCAAAATCATGTTTGTATTTCTAACTCTGGCCACTGGCTTAAATTATTTTTCTCTTCTGTTAATCAGGTATCAACATGGTTTTTTACCACCTTTTCTGTCTCAGGACTGAAGGACAAAATCCACCATGTGGACAGCCTCCACCAGCTCTTCTCTGCCATATCCCCAGAACAGATCGACTTCCCTCCTTTTGTCCTGGAATATGATGCCAGGGTAAGAAGTACCAGGAGTCCTCCTTCACCTGATGTAGTATCTTAACTATTCTGTAGAGCAGTGCTTATGAGCACAACATCCTTTCATTACAAGATGACATTGATGCAATTAGTAAACCTGATAGTATCATTTTACATTCTTTTCCTACAATAACTTTAGGAAAATGCTTCGTCCTAAGAGAGGGCTTTTTCCCGAGTAAATTTTTCAGTGGGAGATTTTTCTGCTGTAGGTTTGAAGCCAATCCTTGCTTGTATTGTCAGTTTTCTACTACCTTTGAAACATACCTCTGCCTAATTTTCTTAAGATTGAATGGCTTTTCATCTACATAAATAAAGCCAGAGGAATCTATTGGTGTCTGACGTTTTCAGCACTAATTATAAAACTGGTAGCCTATCTTAGTAGTCTCTACCCTACTAAAAGTTTCGTTTTGTATAATGTTTTTAAGAGCATCGACCAATAATAGTGTTATTACCTATGGATGCATTTATGAATCTATTACTTACACACTAATAAAGGGCTACTCTTGAATTTCATCAAAGCTCTATTCCATTGTGTTTATTCAGACTATCACTTTAGTAGTTAAAAAAAATAACATGCTTGGCAGAAGATCATCAGTCTCCTTATTAATTGTTGCGGATTACATGTCTTTATGCATGAATCAGGGAATATATTTGAAGGTTATATTAAGTTTGAAATGAATTATTCTTTCTTAATTATTGTACAACATGTATACAGTTAAATAAATATCCTACAAGACATTTTCTCTCTAACATTTCTCTAACTTCAGCTGTGATTTCTGTTCCCCTTTGTGTGAAGAGCAAAGTATTTAAGTGTTCTAGTGGCTAATAAAATTCACGTTTGGCTTTTGCACAAAGAGAATTTGTAATTGGAGCAACTGGATCCTAGATACGAAGGTTGTTGAATATATGGGAGGGGAAAAAAGAACATCAGTTTATATTTATTGCAGATTACTGAAATAGAAAATGGCCTTATTGTTATAGCAGGAAATGTGGAAGACACTCAAAGACATTTTGATACCAAAAATTTGGAATGACAATTCAAAGCTAGTGTCTGGATTCTTAATTTATTTTCTGGGATAGAAATGGACAATTTGGGTTGTATTGATTAGAAAACCGTACAGACTATTTTTTAAACTAACATGTTTTCTATATACTTAAGGGCCTATAGAGCAGGCTTTTATTAGATATCAACACCAAACTCAAGCTTGGTCTTGTTTTTTTGCTTTGTTTGTGTTTGTTTTAGGTTTTGTTTGTTTGGTTATATCAAATGCAGGCCTAATTAATAAAATGATTTATGAAAATTAAATAATATAACCCATAATTTAACACTTGGGTCGATGGATCATCTCTCTGTACCTGTTCTGGAGCTTTTTAAAATTGAGATAAAGGCCAAAGAAGAATAAAAAGAGAGAAGAAATGAAAGAAGGTGTCAGGAGATGATGTGGAAAGGGCCAGCAGAAGGCCGATCACTAGATACTGGAGCTTTCCATGTGATGCTGCAGTACTTGGGCTTTGTAGGCGGTGGGAAGTGTTCTGCAAGGAGAATGGCTGTTATAGTCCTCTTTAGAAAGATGGGCTACAGAAACAGCGTAGAGATTGACGAGAGAAGGCTAAGACTATAGGCAAGGAGACAAGTAAAAGGCAATTAGAGAAGGCTGGAGGAAAAATGAGACTTAGAGCTAGGGCAGTGGTAGTGATAATGGCAAGGATTTGAAGATCGAGATATTTAGAAGTAGACATTTTAGGAAATAAAATCCACAGCATTTGGTGACTGAATAGCCATTAAGGGGGATGAAGGAGGAAAGATGCCTAAGGTGACTACCAAAGTTTCTGCTTTGGGAGACTTGGTGGATGGTGTCGTCACCACCCCAGAGAGGCAATTAGGAGGAAAAGCACTGGGGAGTTTGGAGAGAAGAGACGCATCAGGTTTGAGGTGCTCCATGGGCACTGAGGTGGAGGTCCAGTAGCAGTTGGATATTACCTTGTAAGGAAACATTTTCTTTTGTTAGAAGAATTAAAAACATGGTTAGAGAAAAGGAGGTAAGTATAGAGTTGGTTCATTTTATTATCATGTTCAGTTGTTCCTTGCACATAGTAGGTTCTTTATGTGGTGAAGGTATGATGTGATGTTGGTTGTTGGCAAGTTTCAGTAAGCTTCTGTTTTTCTGGGTCTTGTGTGGCTTTAGACTAGTGACATAAGTTTTATAGGATTAAAGGGAAACTATGAAGGCAATTAAAAGGTAATTTTTATCTATCTAGATCAAAATGGTACTGAGACCATTTCAGAAAGGGAACTAGTCAGCATTCTTATAAATATAGTTAAAGAAGAGAGTATGTAAATTTACCTGGTAACAATTCTTCAGAGTTCTCTGATAGTTTCCAGAAATAGAGAAAATACTTGATTGCTCAGCAGTCTTTTGCACAGCGTGAGACTAATATAAAAAGCTCTATTCCATAGCATTAAGAATTAGATTTGCCCTTCTTACTTTATCAGAATTTAATGCAGACATGAGAACCTAGGAATATATGGTAGTGGAATAGAATGGAGAGATCTTAAAGATGGATAGTGAACCGCTTCTTGCAGATGAACTTCAGGTTGGATTTCTCTCCTCAAGCAAGTTTCTTAAGCATAGCTTCCATGCATACTGGGGATACGGGAATGGTTGGTATAACAGATCTTGATAGGAAATTCTAAAATACCCAAAAAAAAAAGTTTTTATTAATTTTTTTCAAGTATCCTGAAATGTAGCAAATCCTAGGATTTGTTTCTACCTAAAATTTTTTTTTTAAATCTTTTTGATACCTGGTCAGATTTATAATCAGAAAGTAAGTTTTTCTAGATATCCTCTTGTTTTCCTAGTTATGGTTCCAGGATCAGTTTCTGCTGCAGAGCATCTGCTCTGAAGAATGGCAGAGCTTTTGATTCACTTAGTCACTCAAATAACGTTTAACTGCCTACTCTGTTCAAGACCAGATAGATTTAATGCTCCATGGTAAGTATAATGTAAATACACCGTAAAGCAATGCTATTTCCATCCCACCTCTCATTCTCATTCCTAACTATTATCTTACATTAATGCTAAGCATTTTCTGTTTATGGTTTCTTGAAAAACAAGTTATTTATCAAAGAAATACTTTCCTTAAAAACAAGAAATGAATCGTAAGCCTCATAAATCTAATTTAGTGTTCAGCCACCAAAAATTAACTGTCTTGATTTTTATTAAAATAAAGTTAGCCAGGGCCGGCCCCGTGGCTTAGCGGGTAGGTGAACGCGCTCCGCTGCTGGCGGCCCTGGTTCGGATCCCGGGCACAAACCGACGCACCGCTTCTCTGGCCATGCTGAGGCCGCGTCCCACATACAGCAACTAGAAGGATGTGCAGCTGTGACATACAACTATCTACTGGAGCTTTGGGGGGAAAAAATAAATAAAATTAAAAAAATAAAATAAAAAGTTAGCCAAAATGAGGTCAAAAAATTTCCCATTATGTTGATTTGTTGCTTTCTGCATTTGACATTAAATTTCTGGCATTTAGTTCTCCATCTTGATCTTGAACTAAACGCCCTGAGAACTATAATTGTTACAAGGCCTTGCCACTCAGGCATGTCATGAAGAAGACTCATTTTTGCCAAAACAGTTATAGTTATTAGATTTCTTCCTGATAGTTTTCTTTGTTTCATAACTCTACCTTAAAATTTGACACACAATAAGACAACACAATCTAACAAAAAAGAATCTGGGCATTAGATTTGAATAGACATGGATTTAAATTCAACCCTTCTGGTTACTAGCTAGGTGACCTTAGGTGAGCTATGCAATCTGTGTGATCCTCAGTTTCCTCTTCTGTAAAATGACGATGTTACCTACTTCATGGCGTTATGTGAGGATATAAAGGGATAATGAAAGAAAAGGGATGATAAAGTGTCTGGCATATAGAATACTCAATAAGTGGTAATATTATTAAAAGATACTATCATCCTGATCATCTCGACCTATTTTACACCAACTGACTGATTCCAGTGGAACTACTCTGATGGATGAAAGCCTGCTCAGGGCCAGGCACGTGCTAGACATTTTAGATACACTGCGTCGTTGATTATAAATCCCTTTCTTTCACATTCCTAGTTAAATTGGTCTTATTACTTAACGTTCTTGTCTTTTTTCTTTCCACAGGAAAATGGGCCTTACTTTACATCTTATCCCCCATCACCAGATTTGTGACCTGCCATCTTTCAGTGCTACTGGTTTCCAAGGACACCACTTTCTCCACGAATCGCTACCTATTGAAGTGATATTCATTTTTGCCGTACAGATCCAGAGAGCCTTTTGTCCCCACCTCTCTGGTATTTTTTTATTGACTGTATATTTTCTGGCACATAAGCAATCTGAAAATAGTAGGCCATTCTGAACTGCACACTTATTTTAAATTTGTATATTTGTATCAAATGAAAATGTTCATTTTTAGAGGGTTATTAATAGAAATTGGGGAGCTACTTTGAGTATCTTCAGTTTCCTGAAAGGACACTGGATTCTCCATTAGACAAGCCACCAATATTGTTCACATCATCTCTAACATTGCACGCTTCCTTTGTGTACTTAAGTATTTCTCAAAATATATAGAACCAATATATGCTAACTGGATGCATTGTTTGCTTCAGATCCTGGCATTACATTTTATACAGATAATTTGGTTATGATAAAAGAGGATTGTCTGGGACCAAGGATGTGGAAATGTATCTGATAAAAATATCAAAATCATTAGCAAAATATAGGTCTTAGAATTTTATTGCACCAGTTAAGACTAAGATTTAAGGACTAAAGTTCCTTGGATTATATGATTTGTTGAGATTGCCACTGTTCTGATCTCAACAGTGAGGAAAAACAAGAAGACTGTATCTTTAGCCTTTTCCATAATCATGGGTGATTTGGTCTCCTTATTCAGAAGGACTGCACATATTAGTACTCTTATGTGAAGGGCATCTCCTAATACTCAATTGCTGAGCCGTTAGAGAGTGTACTGTCTTCCCAGAGTCATGAATGATTTTGTTTAGCTCTTAGGGCTGCTCCATCTGAGGACATTTCCTAGCAGTGTTTCTTGAGTTGCCTACATCAATATGTTGGAAGTGTGTTGCAGTGAACAAAATTCCAGATCACTTTTGACACTCAGGCTCTATTTGTGCCTTAGCTTGCTTATGAGTAAAAATTAGAATTATGCTACCTACCTCACAGAGGTATCATGAGGATAGTATTTAGAAAGGGCTTTTGATGTCTTTGGATGAAAAATGCTAGGAGAGTTTGTATAGCAGGGTGTCTTCAATTTTTTATTTAATGATAATAAATATACTGAGAGAGTGCTGCAAAGCCCTCCTCTTGTCTTTGGCGCCTTTTGAGTGACTTTTCTTTTCCTGGGACAAGAGCTGTTGGTGCAAAATCCCAACCCTGAGGACCTCCTTCCTGCTTCTCCAGAATTTCTTTTGGCTTCCTCCACCTCGCTTTAATGAGAGGCATCTGTTAGGCATTTTAAACATTTCTTCTTGAATTACCGTCAAACCATTATCACTTCCATCTGGGTGTCTTCATATTCCTTTTGATTCCTACAACCACCCCCCATCTCTCTCACCCCATCATGTATATTGGCAGTGTGGAGAAGAAAAAGTAAAACTCTTCTGTTCTAATGTGCCCAGGACCGGTGCTTCCAAGGGTCCCATTCCCCTCTGCCCAAATTAATTCTTCAGTGGATATAAAAGAAACATACCTCTCTTCATTTATGATAGAGAAATCCCCTTATGGTTGTGTTAACCCCATCCTATGTTTTTCCATATAAACAAGAAGGAGCCTCACATTTCTTAGATAAACACTCTTATCTTTTGCAGGTAATGGACATGTTTGCTTTGTGTCAGAAATCAAAACCACTTGTTCATTAGATACACTTATTTGTTATGGACTTCCTGTTATGTTCTCTAGGTCATCAGGTCCAGACAGCCAGTCAGATGTCTGGTATTAAGCTTCCTCTCAAACAGTACTCCTTTAACCTCTTGAGCCTTGAGCTTTAAAAATCTGAAAAATTAGCTTCATCTTCTCCAGTCAATTGTTAGATCATATTTGAGGTATCTTTTCGCTAGGAGCAGTCAACTTTTCTTTGTTAAAGCTGGACTTAGCTACCTTAAATTGATATCTAGCCTGAATCATTTCCTCTATAGATAATAGAAGCTGCAAGGTACTTGGCCATTTGAAAGGAAGCATATTTGTATGTTCCTTTACTATATTCATACCAGTATATTAATGTTTAGTAATACAAGCAGGATTCTACATATACTGAGATTCTAGTTCAATTCATCACTTAATTGTGACTAAAGATAAGGGCTGCTCTTCTCAGTGAAACTAAGTTTGATATAGGACCAAGTTCATGCTTTTATAGCTGTCTAAAGTGTTATGTCATGAAGTTGTTTCAATGTACCTAGAAAGGGAACACAGTAACCCTGATACTGAAATGATTGTTACCTTCAGTATGTATCTGCCTTTGTCCGAAGGTGGGATAGGCCGGATAAAACATGCCATTTTCAAGGACACGTGAGAGGATAAAGAGGTAACTGGGTAGAGATGACCACTAGCATCTGATATTAATTCAAAGCACTACCAAGTCCTTAATTGAATTAAACTTTAGTTATGCCAAATGCTATTTGAATTGAGGAAGAAACAGCTTACAAAATATTAATTTATTCAAGACATAACATGATTTTTAAAACAAGTATGTTTCTTGCTTCAGCATATATTTGGATTGTTCTTAATTCATCTATATTCAAGTTTCTTGATAGCGAAAATGACCTCTTGAAAAAAGCTCAGTCTTAAGGCTTAGAGACATATTTTAAAGATTTTCTTTTCTTTCATATATGTATCTTATTTTGTTGGCTGATGCTCTATTATATTTATTTTTTCAAAAGAATCCATCTACGGTAGTTTGAGACTATACAACAGGATTCTCAGAGTATTTTTGGTAGGAAAAATGGGTATAGATTTTTGATCAAATATCTGAAGTCTAAAAGGATTAAAATATCTCTCATTTCTAGAGAGGGATGAGTATAATCACTCTATTAGAAAAACATGGCTTGCCTATTTCTGTTTTCTGTTTGCTTAGATATTGTTTAATGAATTCAGGATAATGGTTAATCTTTTCTTTGCAACAGTTAATAGGAAAGCGATAAAATGTAGTTTCAGTATAAGCTAAAAATCACTCTGTTTCCCGATACATTGTCTGTGTGTGTATGTGTGTATATAGAGTTTAAGTTGCTTAATATATGGATAGAAATTATTAGAATTTGATGCACTGGAAAGAGAAGGATTTGATTGTAGGCATAGTGAATTGATTGTATTATGGACCAAAAGGACTACAAGACGGCATATAAATCTCTAACATTGGAGTTAGCCAGTGAGTTTTAGATTGTGCTTCTCTTAAGTTATGGTTATCATAATCAGCATGCACTAGTGTTTTACCTGTACTGGCACTAATATACCTCATGGTACGTGATTAACTCTTGGTTTGCGATTGCCTGAGACCATGAAGGATAAAGGAGGGTTCTACTCGTAATCTAGGTCATATCATTACCCCAGAGATTTTAAAGATTGCCTACTAGGCCTAACCATACATACATATACATATATATACATGCATACATATATATCTGTGTATATTTACACACAGTAATCTGCTTTGTTTTAAATTCTTTGTGTGTGGTTTCTGTGGCCCATATGTAGAGAACATAGAGCAATAAATAACATAGTTCAAGCTTTGATTCTACCAAAATAGCCCTTAAACAGATGGTATCGAGGTCATTTTAGATATTAGTGGCTCTCTTGGATATTAGTTGTTAACTTTGTTTTCTATGCTTCCAAGAACAGTATCTGGGAATCTTTTTGTAATACAGCATGCCTTAAATGTATAGGGCCACTGGGTTCAAGAAGAAAAGCATAGGTATTCTCTAAGTGAATTACACCAACAAAATCATAACTGCTGAATGTGATCTAATATTTTTCTTGAACAGTTAAAGCTAATACATTTTGTATATAGAATCAAATTTTTTTTTTGTAATGTGTTTTGTTAGTGTAAGCACACAGTCATTATAAACTTAAAAGACAGATCCTGTGGGCCAAAGTATTTAAATAAGAGCTTAACATATGTAAATGATTTTAATTGCTTTTGGGCAAAGGAGACCTAAAAACGTTTTGATTGATATGATCTTAAAATTTGTTTATTCAAAATTCAAAAAGTTTTTATGCGTATTTTGTATTTAAAAACGTATTTTGGACTTTCTGAATTAGGAGTTAGATCCCTTTTAAAGAGGATCTCACTGTATGCAAATACAGCCTGTGAAGAACCAGTAGTGAAACTGTAATGGTCATTTTGAACCCCAGGGTGAAACAGTCTTTTTGGCCATTTACACCGGCGTTTCTCTAATCACCAAAGTTAACCTACAGAGTAGTACAAAATGCAGTGAATTTTACTGTCAGCCTTCTCTGTAGAGACCTAGACTAGTAGTTCTCAAACTTTAACGTGCAATAATTCAGTCAGCTGAGAATATGTTAAATTCAGCTTTGATACAGTAGGTCTGGGGTGGAGCCTAGGATTCTCAGGTTCTAACAAGCTCTTAGGTGATATCAATATTTCTGGTCCCAAGACCACATATAGAGTAAAAGAGCCTAGATGATAGTTAGTTTTCTGTATTTCCCCTGTTTTGGGGAAAGGAGACAGAACTGTCGTTTTAATTCCTTTTGTGGGCCAGGCACTCACACATTCATTATCTCATTTAATCCTCTTACCAATCCTGTGAGGTAAGTGGTGATAGAGAGAGGTTAAGTGACCTGCCAAAGCCCCCACACACAAGCAGTGTAGTATAGAGCAGTGTTTCTCAAACTTGAATAATACACATCTTAATAAGGAACAATTCTCTTAGCTCCTCAGTTTTTACTTCATATATTTATTATAATGTTATCTAAGTATATATAAACATCAAGCTACATATAAATGCCTTAGGTTTACAGCTCTTGCACAAGTATAAAACCAAAGTAAGTTTACAGATCAGACACAAGCAAAACTATAAAACTAATAAATTTAAAATAACAGTAATTAACTATGATGGATGATGATGTTTTGCCAGAAGGAAACTGTCACTTGCCGTGTGATTATGGTACTGAGTGCTGTAGTACAGGTTGAGTTCAGCATGCACCTGCTACCATGTGCTATGTGGTGACTCAATTCTCCCACTGTTTTTCTCTGTTCAGACTATTACTTGGATTTGTTCTGTTATTTGGTCTTCATCTAGCCAAAGCATCATTTCCCTAGTAAGTCAAGCCTCTGTTCTCCGTAAGCCTTCCACAGCTAAAGCAGAACCTGGCTTTCACATGCAAGTATATACAAACGCAAACCTGGGCCCTGAGATCTTCTGGCAATATTTGATTTTAAGGCATTTATCCAGGTAACTCAAAACATGAAGATTGATTACTTTAAAAGTTTCCATCAAGGTGAAAAGTGTCTATTTCTCGTAGTTAACTCATGGATCCCCACCACAAAGATACAAACACACACACTCCCCCCACACTCTTCCCTCACTCTCTCCACGAGAATTTTTGATGGTGGTTAGTAGCATTGGTGACACACCTGGGTTCAGACCTTGGGCATGCTTCTCAATCTTTGCTGAACCTCAGTGTTTTCATGTATTAAATAGGGATAATAATACT